ACGAGTTTGCTGTTTTTAGTTTTACCTAATTAATTATATCCTAGAAAGTAACAGTAGCTAACTATTTTAGTAATTGTCATGAGTAATCTTCTAATAAAATTGTTACAAAAAAGAAAACTGCATATGCATCACCAAACCTTAAAATAAAAATCAGAAACAATGTTCTTTTGCGTATATAAAAGGCGTTATTATGCTGGTGACATAAATTTTCTCAAAATCCTAGATACCGTTAATAGTTGTTAACCATAATTGTACATTTAATTAGTGTGGTATTTGGGTGTTCATTGCTGTTATTGGCCAATAAATAAAAAAAAAGAAGCGTTTACTTCATTAAAATTATTTCTTTATGATTAAAAAAACATGGCATTTATGCGTCTGGTCTATTTTTTAATTTGACATAAATTTCTTGCTATAAAAAGGGAAGTGTTGTAGAAGGGAGTTGCCAATGTTGTAGGAATCCCAACTATATTCGTTTATTTTAAAGAGGTCATTCAATTTATTTGGAAGTTACTCGAGGTTAAGACTTCCATTTCAATTTAATGTTACAATTTATAGTTCCAGACAGTTATTGTGGAATACCACTCAATTAAATACGATATAAACGTTTTCTTCCTACGAATCACATCCAGTTCAACAATTTTAACGAAAATGTGTAAATGGTTTAATGAAATGGAAGTTAATTATTTAACAATTGTTTTGGGTAGTATTCGTACTCAGTATTTTTTTTTCAGTTTTTACAAAAATTGACTATTGATTTCTAATAAAAAATATCAAATTTTTTGAAAACCGCAAAACTAAAAACCGTCTCTGTAGTTTTTTTATAGAAAGTTTAGGTAAGATTCTAGTAGCTCTTAATAAAAGTTAACAAATAAGTTTTTTCTAGCCTTTCAATTCCATTTTGTAACCGTATTAGAATTTAGGCGAAAATTTTGCGAGGATCTTTGTAAGAAGTTTTGCTCTTGGTCTTGCGCCTTATTCATTTAGTCTTGGTTTTACTAAATGTACAAAACTAAGAGAAAGCCAAGACCGTTTTTGATCATCACTAAAAATATTGACCGATATATCACACTAATATGTAGTTGTAATTTTTAAAGGAAAACAAAGTTGGTAGTTGCTATCTGATAAACCGTATCAGGTGTCTTGATCCCCCGACAAAATATCCCCGGGGAAAATATCCCTGACAAAATATCCCTGGACAAAATATCCCCGTGACAAAATATCCCCGTAACAAAATATTTCCAGACTAAATATCATCGAACAAAAGCCCCGATAATGAAATATTTCATATATTTATTTGTATTTATTTAATAATAATAACGTTTGATTGTCAGTAATATATAAGTCATTAAATCGATAGGGTTAGGTTAGGTTGCGCTGGATTGACGGGTTGGATTGTATTATGTTTGATCATGTGAGGTGTGGTTGGTAAGGAAGGGAACGTACGGCAAGGTAGCATGGCGCATGTTTGACAGGGTTAGGTTAGGTTAGGTTAGGTTGAATAAAATATTGGAAAAAATTTCTTATAGCGATTTTTATTGTGGAGGGGATATTTAGCCTGGAGATATATTGTCACGGGGATATTTTGTCCGGTGATATTATGTCGGGGGATGAAAAATCATGGATCCCTGATAAACGCAGGATTTTTTTGAGAAATATTCTAATGAAAGGGCCACTGAATGTGGAACGCCCAGTCTTATTAAATCTCCCAATCCGATATTATACTTCAAATCTATTTTCTTTTTGCTCATGAGTACCGGCTTGTTCATTTTTATATTCCTTTGTAAATCTCAATATACTCGGTCAGAATGACCACTATTTTTCGTGTATGACACAAAATAATTTGAATTTTTGATATGTATCTGATCCGCCTATGTATACTTTATTGTATTTATACATATACATATATACCTATAACTACACTTAATAACCTTATTACGACTAATAAATTTGCTTTTAACGCCTACTCAAAAATTATTATACATATCGCCAAGAGGCAATGTTGGCCATGATCATAACACCCAACACACTTTTATAGCCAGAGTCATGGAAACGATCACTGCAATGACTATCGCTATTATTGATCGATGTCTTTATGTATTGTGTTTAGCATATGTCAGTTGACAAGTAAATGTCTATTTTTAAAATTTACTTAATATAAATACCTATTACTTATGCTCTTACTGTCTTAATCATTTATAGAAAGTGTAAGCTCAATCATGCCTTTTTTAACAACTTTATTTCTACATTCTAGACACTTAATTGATGCCGAATTAACAAAATTGTTGAAAATACAATAAATTAGTCGAGACTTGTCATGACGCCGAAGAATCTGTACATTGTTAAAGAAAGCAGAAAAGTTTCAAACACATAAAATTTCTTTAATTCATGCATCATCGACATAAGATTGTCAGTAATAAGACTCCCAAGACTGGTTGGACGCGCACCTCCACTTTTTCCTATCCTGAGCTAATATTCCCATTTCCCTAAAATTAGAACGTCCTACATCCTCAACCAATTGTGAACAGTAATCTAAACCAATCTACTTCTTCTCCTCTTAGTTCCAGTTTCTGCTTCTAATATGTCTCTGACTATCCCTTCGTGCGTGAGACCTCCCAACCTAAATCGCCTATTTCTTAATGACTTCAGTAGAGTCCTCTGTTCTCCTATTCTCTCTAGTACCTTTTCATTCACCCACCATCCATGATTCGCACCCGTACAGACATACATACTTTTTAATCTTTTTCGAATTTCTAAATTAACCATTCGCGAACACAGAAGTGGCTTGCTTTTGGGATCCTACCACATCTAACCATACGTCTTCAACACCTCACACTATTGGTTGACATCGTCCGTTTGTAAAATTACTTGATTTGGTTAATAATTTGATTTATAATATTCAAAAAAATCAGAGTACATCCTTAATAATTATAGCGCAAAATATTCCAAATTTATAGATTCTTCACATCAGAATTTCTAAGAGAATTGGCTGTGTTGTCAACCAAATACGTGTGTAATTTTAAAGGATTCTGTGTTTTCGTTTGAGGTACCTACAACAGAATTCTAAAAGTGTTTACAGATAAAATATTTCATCCAACATTAAAAGTATTCAATGTGTATTTACAAAATTAGCAAACACAAGAAGAAGAAAAAGAAGCTCGCACTGCTTAAAATCATAAAAATTTAATGACTGCCATTAAATGGTGAATAACGTTAGAAAGTAAGTCTTAACAACGACAAAAAGTTAATTAATAAATAATTTGGCTATAATTCATTATCATTAATGTAGCTTAAAAAAACTAATTAGGTGTAGTGATGATGCTGATGATAACCACTATAAAATGAGCATAACATTTTAGAAGAAGCAAAGTGTATCTCTTAAGCACTCTACTAATTGTTGTGAATACATTTATTTTTCGGGCTTTTTGCCGTGATCGATGGCGATAGATCGTGAAAGCCTAAAGATATTACTGTTCGTGAATGTTATTAAAAATATACCCAAATGAAGAAGATTTTGTTAATGTTAGGATTTTCTTCTTGTACAAGTACAAGTAACAAATGCAAGATTCAAAGTTTAAGTAACAATAATTTCAACACATGTATTAGTATTATATAGGGTTGTTCGGAAAGTCATTTCGTTTTTTCCCGACAGAGGATTTAATTGTATTCTTTTGCACCCAACTTCACATTTAAGCCGTATAATTTTTATATGCTTTGAGAGCTCATATGGCAAGGCTTGTGTGTGAAAAATTCCAATTAATTCTACGCAGTAGTTTTTGGTTGGTGCCCTTTTAAATATGGAGAGCGATAAGCAGCATTTTCGACATATCTTAGTGTTTTACTACAGAAAGGGTAAAAATGCTGTTCAAGCCAGAAAGAAATTGACTGATGTGTATGGAGAAGGTGTGTTGACAGTACGCCAGTGCCAGAAGTGGTTCGCTAAATTTCGATCCGGCAATTTTGATGTCGAAGATGTCTACTGTCATCAGCTGGACAAACTGAATGATGCACTTCAACAGAAAAGGTCAGAACTAATCAACAGGAAAGGTGTAGTGTTTCACCAAGACAACGCGAGACCTCACACAAGTTTTGGTCACTCGCCAAAAGCTTTTACAGCTTGAATGGGATACAATGCTACACCCACCATATTCTCCAGACCTGGCACCATCGGATTATTATTTGTTCCGGTCACTCCAAAATTTTTTAGGCGGTAAAACCTTCACCTCAAATGAGGAGGTCAAAAACCTCCTCGATCAGTTTTTTGCCAGCAAAGACCAAAAATTTTATGAGCGTGGAATTATGCTACTACCAGAAAGATGGCAAAAGGTGTTGGACCAGAACGGTCAATATATAATTTAATAAAGTATTTGTTTATTATACGAAAACTGTCTTTCATTTCCACAAAAAAAAACGAAATGACTTTCCGAACAACCCTATACAATACTCTTGGTAACGCACTTATATTATTATATGTACAATTTATTGTCGTCTTTTTAAATGGCTTAGGAAAAAAGTTGATACTGCTTTTTCACACAATTAAACGTAACTACGGGATGTAATTGTACTTAAAAAGTTTCATACCTTTCGCGTATGCATTAAAGAGTACTTATAAATACTTGAATGTCTAATGTGAGAACACGATTATTTATGTACTTACTTTTCCAATGGCAGTACTTATTCACTTTAAAAACAATTAAGAGTTTGTTAGATGCTAACGTGGTCTATAACGTTAAGAGCCGTTAGACATTACGGTCATTTAAAAGTAAAACAGAGAGAACGAGGTTCTTTTCGTTTGTTGTCTGAAACAATCGAAATTGAAGTTGTGTGTCTCTGTGTCAACTGGATGTAAGTCATCCTTGGCCGCCTTTTCATTTTTCGCTTGTGTTACTCTCCGGTGGGACCTTTGCTGCCGTAATTCGTTTTTATTTGTAGTGTTTATTGTGCTTTTTGTGTACCGCAATTTTTGTGCTCCGTCATTACTGACTGTTGCAATTTCGTTTCAGTTTAATTTCGTCGGGAGGATATTAGGACCCCGAGGTATGACAGCCAAACAATTGGAACAGGAAACTGGATGTAAAATTATGGTTCGAGGAAAGGGTTCGATGAGAGACAAAAAGAAGGTTTGTTTTAATAAATCTGATTTCAATTCTCTTGTTAAAAATACTAAAAATCCGTCGTGGTACGTAAAAAAATAAAAATTTAATAATAAAATAATAAAATACGAAAATTTTTCATAATTAATACAACAAAAGCTGAGTGTTGATTGTAGTAGTTTTTACTGTTATTCTCAAATAAACGTCATAGCGAAAATGAGAACATTAATTCAGATTAAATCGATCTAGTAAAACAGTCAATTAATTATTTTCGAAGAATATAAACTAAGTAATTCATGCGTTATACTATTACTAACACATTACATATTCTGATGAATTTAACGAAACCTTCTAAATTTGCATAGAGATTATTAGAACCTAATTTTTCGATATAATTAATAAAATAATAAATTTGAAAAACCTTCAGCAATCTGAAAACGCAAATTTAAAAGTATTAAGTTACTGAAGGAATATATTTTATATTGGCATTCATTTCATAACTCTAATAAAAAAAAATTGATGTTAAACTTCAGGAAATTAGAATGTTTTATAGATATATTCGTAAATGTTTTGTTTATTTTAACAAAAAAATAATTTACTGTTTTGTCTGCAGCATAAGACTGTTTTACGTAAGTATTTTATGGCACTTAATATTACCTACTACAATGTTTATGGCAATATATGTTAAAAGTATTCACCTAGTGTATTTTGTTCACAAGAAAGTTAAAAGATTAAAAGAATTTGTTGTATTTCATGTGACCGTAAAGCGATCCGTGGTTGTTGACTATTATTTAATACTTATTAAAAAAGTTTAACTTTTGTTTATAATACATATAAACACAACAGTTGTTTTTATCTTTGGTATACACTATGTATGTGATCAGTAGGTACAGTAGGAAAAATTAAGGGAGAAGAAGGTACGTATAAAAGAAATAGAATGAGCCATCTCCCACCATTTATTTATTTAGTGATATACATAAACATAAACGTAATAACAAATTATGAAAAGCCCCAGCTGTTCCGGCAATGATGTTTCGAATTTGCGTGGTGCCGCCAGTGCATTTTTCATTGTTTTTTCTTTAATATTTTTACACTCAACTTATTTTTGCATTTTGTATTAATAGCAATAACTCTGCGAATCGAGTCGGCTACTACTAATTATCGTCACACGTACAATTGGCTTGTTTGTGTATCAGTTGTTGCGAAGGTCACGAATAAGTATGTGTTTCGCCACTTGACGCTTGCGATAACAAAGGGCGCTAAGATAACGCGGCTGCCAAACTGGTAATCCTTCTCAATCACTGGCGGCTAGTTGACTGGAGTACTTTTTGTGCATAACTTTTACACTGCCTCTAAATGTAATGAAATAAATAAAATGGAAACGGTATAAACAAATCGGTATTGTATGAAAATAAATAAAAGTAAAACAAAAATACTGGTATGCAAGGGAAGAAAAAGTAGGGAAAGAGCGGATATAAAGATAGGAAACGAAAAATTAGAAGAAGTGGCTGATTTTAGGTATCTAGGAAGTGAAATAAGTCTGGACGGAAGGAGTAGTAGGAATATAAAGCAGAGGCGCTATCCTCTGCTTTATATTCGCCTTCAATAAAACAGTTAATTTCGAAAAAAATTGTTAAAGGTGTATGTTTGGAGCGCGGCGTTGTACGGGTGCGCAACATGGACAGTGGGCGCGACGGTTAAGAAAAGGTTAGAAGCGTTTGAAATGTGGTGTTATCATCATTCGCCTAGATGAGGATAATGTGGGTAGAAAAGGTTAGAAATGAAGAGGTATTAGAAAAAAACTTAAAAAAAAAACTTTTGGGTGTTTCATTCCCACCAGCCAGTAATGCTGGTGGGCGGGCAGTCCCTCCGGGCTATGCCCGAAGGTAGGGCGGAAGGCCCTCTTCAGCCTGCTTTCAGGAATCGTGGGAATGGGTGGGTGGTGGTTCGGGTGAGAAAGATGAGACGAACGAAATGAAGACAGAAGAGAATGAAAGATTATCTGTGGAATGTTACTGCCTCAGCATTTGTCTAAGTGATCCAAGGAAACCACAGAAAAACTTGGACCAAGGCAGACGGACCCGGAATCGAACCGGCGTCCTCCCGAATGCTAAGCAATGGTCTAGACCTCTAGGCCATGCCGCTCGGTATTAGAAAGAATAGGAGAACAGAGGACTCTATGGAATTCAATAAAAAATAGGTGAGATAGATTGGTAGGACACCTTCTCAGGCTTAAAGGTCTAGTCAGAGACATATTAGAGACAGAAACAGGAGTTAGGAGGAGTAGAGGTAGACCTAGGTTAGATTACTGTTCGCAAATAGTTAATGATATGGGTTGTTCTAGTTTTAGGGAAATGCGAAAATTAGCTCAGGATAGGAAAGGATGGAGATGCGTGTCCAACCAGTCTTAGGACTGACGACCTTATGGTGATCTAAATGTTACCTTTCAAATATTCGGAATTACTGATCAGACATAGTGTATATTTACTTTAGGAATTTTATTTAAATTTAATTATATTAACGATATTAGATAATGTTTTTCATAATACTAGTTAAATAGTAGGTATAACTTTATTTTATTAATATTATTGTTTAACACTTAACCGTTTTGACAAAGTTGTCTAAAGCTCTCCAGATAGACTGTTTTTCTTTTTTGTTTTTTTTTATTATTTAACATACTATTATTAATTTCTCGTTCAGGAAGATCAAAACAGAGGAAAACCGAATTGGGAGCATCTTTCCGACGATCTTCATGTACTTTTAACAGTAGAAGATACAGAAAATCGAGCAAAAGTCAAGATGGCTCGTGCTGTAGAAGAAGTGAAAAAATTATTAGTACCTGTAAGTACCACTAATGAATTAATAATCATTCTAATCATTTTAAACTAGCTGTTTAATAATTGACTTACGTATATTACTTAGTCTAGTACATGCGTACGATAAATATAAACTAAAAATTTCTTTTTTGTTGCAGCAAGCTGATGGTGAAGATGAGCTTAAGAAAAGGCAGCTAATGGAACTAGCCATCATTAATGGAACATACAGGGATTCTAGTTCAAAAACAACATCTGCAGCTGGTAAGCAGTATGCTTTTTATTCTATTTTAGTGCTTTCAATGTGCTCAAACAGCATGACCTTTTTAAATAGAAATTTCACCAAAAATATACTAAATTCTTATAATGTCGCTTTTTAATATATACTTTTCTTTAATAAAATGCTTATAATTCAAAATTTATTCAGATTTAGGAGTTATGTTCGTTTTTACATTTATCATTGTTTTGTTAATCAGTATTTCTCGAACATCAATCAATTTTAATTTTTTCTATGTTAAATAATTTTAAAATTAATTAAATCTGGTAATTTTAAAGAATTAAATTTCCGATTTTTTTTTGAAATTTTATTATCAAGAGTAATTGCACACAATGTTAATTTTTGGTGAGCATCACTTTAAATATTAATAAGTGGATATATTGGAAAAGCATGCAGGGACTAAATTAAATCATGTTTTGTATTTCACCTAACTAAAAAATATGAAAAGATAATGGGACGAGCAATAAAAAATTGATAAATAGATAAATTAACGATCTGCAGTAAATATTACAGCAATAGAAAATAATATTTTCAAAGAACTTTATTAAAACTAAATAATTGGAAATGTGTACAAAAAATTTAATTGTGAAGCATAATCATGTATCCTACATTGTTAAAATTTGTAATACAAACATTCAAATTTTATCAGTTACTTTAGTAAAAGAACTATTTAAAGTGTCCGAATTCCTGATTAAAATCAACTTAATCATTCGCTATCGAATTTTATTAGATATGTCCGTTGGATAATTGAATGAACTTTTCGCTGTTTTTGACTCAGTATTTTTTAATATCCATTTAATGATTATGCCATTCTAAAAATAGTAACGAAGACAGGATTATACGCATCCTCAAAATCAGTAAATCTAGCACACTGCAGTATGTACTGAAAATTGGTGTGTCCAAAAAATAAAGAGTGGGAGACATAATACATATGCAAATCTTGCAGGAGTTCTATCCCATACAATTTTGCCATTTGAATTAAATTCCACGGTTTCCCGAACCCAAATAGTAAAAACTCATTTCAGCTTGGAGCTAGTGATTATTAAATACATACATCCAAGAAATGTCATCTAACTTTTTAGCATTTTAGTGAATCATCCAATCAACAGAAGAAAGAAGAGAATGAATCACGTGTAACATACAGGGTGTTTTGTTAATCGTACAAAAAATTGCTGTGTCCAGCAAGTACTTATGAAGAGCAGAAATTTTATTTTGAATTAAATAAAACACGTAAATCTAAAATTCCACATAAAAACGAAACTGTCAGTCTCTAACTGAGGATGTCACATTTTTTTTTTTAATGTGTAAGCAGGATACAAAAATTTGGTTATTACTTACATTTAGAATACTTGATTACTCATGAAACGCTTAAAACGATGTATCCTAAAATTCTCTGTAGATACTACAAATTACAAATGATTTCAATGTATTGTGGCCATTACTTTTTGGATTCGCGAACTACGTTGATGACGTGGACGCAATTTCAATAATTTTACTATTTTACATTACCAATAATGAGATTTCTAATATTGTCGTTTCTTTAATTGAGGAATCTGTTGAAATTTGAAGTGGCTGGCGTCACCCAATTGGAAAATATGCCGAAAATAGTGTTTGATATTTTAGTAAGAAGTTGGTAAATCCAGCGATTGTAAATTTGTCTGATTTAATGAGTTTGTGCTAATTACCCACAGTGGTAAATTTGGCCGGAAGGATTTTATAGCTCTCAAGAATAATTTGTAAATTTGGCAAGTTTCGACTCATAGGAAGTCGCAAGAAATAAGTAATACATCATAAGTATCAAATGTAGATGCACGTTTGATAACAAGAGTCAAAATCTCGCTCATATCGATCAAAAAATTCATGCTAGTCAGTTTTCTTATGTCGAAACCGTCAGTCGCGGATCGCGATTTCAATCTCATTATATCTCATCAGGCCCACTCTATCTGCCGCCTTAAGAAAACGTTTATAAACCACTACAAACAGCTACCTTTATGTGACGTTGCTAAGGGAACGTAGCCATACTATGTGACCTCCTCCCGCTCGATGACCACCCGTAGTATATACCAAGCCCCCGCCCCCTAAAGTTTTCACGTAGTAATTCATAAATATGGTTTTAAATATTTCTTGCAAACAGAAATTGATTTCGTGACGAAAACCTTTACCCCTCGCGCGGTCTCCATCATCGTCAGTCCTAAGACTGGTTGGACACGCAACTCCACTCTTTCCTATCCTGCGCTAATCTTCGCATTTCCCTAAAGCTAGAACAACCTATATCCTTCGATATTTGCAAACAGTAATCTGATCTAGGTCTACCTCTAACTTCCGTTTCTGCCTGACTAGACCTTCATGCCTGAGAAGGTGTCCTACTGACCTATCTCGCCTATTTCTTGTTGACTTCCATAGAGACCTGTGTTCTCTTACTTTTTCGGATATCTCTTCATTTCTAACCATTTCTATCCACGGTATCCTCATCATTCGCCTGTAACACCACATTTCAAACGCTTCTAACGCGCTCTGTCCATATGTGGTCCTTTAAAGGCCCGTCCCCCCCCCCTCCCAAATGAGTCACGTAGTATGGGTACATTCCTAACCCTATGTGGTAGGCACGTGGATTACAATTCGATCTCATTAGATTTTTATGTTTTGTTATCGATAGCGTACAAAAAGCTCTTCGACTCGACAAAGGCAACATTTTCACCAAGTAAGGAATAACATACGTACACCGAATTTTGTTGAGCGACCAAATTTATAATATATTTTGCCAATGCTCGGTAAATTATACCACGTGTCCTTCGTAATCATAAAAATACGTGTTTAGGTCAACTATATCGAAATAATTTATAAGAGACTATCTCCTCGTACATCGAAATGTCTTGAGACAGTTATCTGTCTTATTTCGGTAGCTGCTCCTGTAATTTTTTGCAATGATTTACGAAACACCCTCTATATGTTATTAACTTAATTGTTACTAATGCTGAAACATGCATACTAAGAAACATTAAAAACTGGAAATTGCATCTTGCTTTTAGTATGTGATGAAGAGTGGGCACGTGTTGCAGTTGCAGCAGCTGAAACACAAAGGCTTTTGTCTCCAGCTATTCCTGGATTGGCGACTCCGTTGAGAACACCCGCAACGCCTTTGGGTGCCCCTCTAATCTTGTCACCGCGCATGTCTGTGCCGACAACGGGTGCATCCATACTTAACGGGTCCGCCCCACCAGGATCTCTGTTGTCGCCCGGGGAAACCCATGGGTTGATTTACACCCCGTACACAGACTATACCAACTATGCAGCCCTGGCAGCTTCGCCACTTCTCACGGAGTACGCCGCTACCGAACATTCTGGTGGGTTATTTGCGCGTTGACTATTTTACCATTTTTACAATAATTAAAGTTTATCCGTGTACTTGCTTTAGTTGTTGCACAATTTATATTTTACCCATCACACATAGCTGTTGGCAAAATTTGTGGGTCAAACGTGGAATTTATAAGTGAACTTCTGTACCTCTAAATTTACAAAGGGCTACTACCTTCTTTGTGGACTACGAACTAGATCAATTTAAATCACACAAGCCCCGAAATTTTAAATGGAATTTACAACAACAAGAAGAGTCTATCCGTATATATTTGTTAATATATTTATTGTTTAGTTTTAAAAATTTTAATAATTGGAGCAGGATAGCTCTAAAATGGGGTAAATCAATTTAAATTTAATCAGAGCTTCGAATAAATTAGATTTCTTTTTAGTACATATATTTTAATCCGTGGTGCCAAAATTATCAAAATTAACGGCGAGGGAATTTTTTAATTACATTTGGCTCAGGTAAAACGCAACAAGCGTGACGTCACAGCCAGTTGCTCAGTCCAGCTTGCAGCCCACTTGCAAATAATTAATTATTTTTACGAAAATTAAGCATATTCGTAATTTTAAACGTTATTATCATGATATGGGGCTACCATTATTAATGTTTTAGCCAAATGGAAACGTCACGATTAATCATTGATTAATATATTTATATGTATTTCAAATTAACTAAATTTAATATTGTGCCACTACCTTTAGCAGCCAATTTACGCCCTAAACTACAACCACTTTTGATTGAACCGCAAAGTATTCTTTAGAAAATTTTGAAAAAATAGCATCTCCATCTCCAAAAATGATCAGAATGTTCAAAATAAGTATCAAATAGAAGCTTTCAATCTCAGTTATTATGTAAACTTCTCACACTTTTAACATTATTTAACACATTTTAACATTCGATTATCGTAATTAAAAAGTTTTCTTTTAAACAGAAACTCTAACCAAATTATCATTTTCTAAGAAGTAACTGACCGCAACGAGGTGTTATTTTTTTAAATTTTCTGGAAACTTTTTTTTCAGGCAATTACGGGGTTTCAAGAGGTGCAGAGCAACTTGCGTTCACTGGTTTTTATGTCTATTAAGTAATTTTTCTTTCTCGTTTGGAACACAAGCTTTGCCACCTTCTATATAGGTGTATTTATAAACAGTAAGTGCTTGACTTGGTCGAAATTCTTAATAATATAATACTAGGTAATCGTGCTACATTTTCATTCTATTTAAATACGAATCACAGAAAGTAAGTGACTTTTTTTATTTATATTTTTATATATACAAATTTTTAACGTTTTTGTGTTTAAAAAAAAAAAAAGAAAAAGAGAATCGTAAGCAAGTGCATTAGAAACCTTTGCATTTTCCATTCAGTTTCTAAATGATGAAGATGAAGTTTTTCTCAACTCGTACTTTAGTCAAAATAAATTAACTCCACGTTTCTGTGATATTTGATCCGTATGCAGGTTATATTGTACATTTAATTCTTGAAGAGTGTATGTAAGTCTTTTTAGTCTGTTGAATTATTGATGGCATATTATATCGTAATATTTATATATCTATATACACAAAATAAGTACCTCTTTTAGTTAGTCTTATATCAAATTTAAAAAATTGTTGCTTTAAGTAGATTAGTCAAATGATAGAATTATTAGATATTAGGTATTATTATTTGTTGACATCACAGTTCATAATATATATTATTATNAATTTTTTTTTTTTTTAGTATTTCTATTGACGTATTATGCATTTACGTGAATGTTTATTGCTTCTTTTGTGTTACCTGTGTTTATTTATTTTTCTTTCCTTTTTTTGTTGAATTAGTCGGGTATTTTCAGCTTTAATATTTGTTAAATCAGCTGTGCTATATGTTTTTTGTTAATTTTACAATATTGTTTAACGAAAAAGTCATCATAGATTATTATTAATAATTCTTATTGAATTTCCATTTCACACTGCGCTGTATTTAGATTTAATTTATTTTCCATTTAAAACAGTAACTAAAGAAATACAGTGTTAAATGGAAATGCGACGTCTGTTTCTTGAACTTTGACATGTGCCCAAATCTTTCAGTCTATTTCTTTACTAGTTTAAAATTAGAAATTAAAATTAGAAAAAAAGGACGTCATAAAATTCTCAAAAAAAAAAATTGTTTTTTTGATATACTTAAAAAAAAAAAAATACTGTGGGCACATCGTTTAAACATTTTGTGTAATCTATAGCTATTGCTAGTTTTATACATACATATAATGAATATTCTAGGTAAATTATTCTGAAAGAAAATAGCTTTACACGTAATAATTGTGCCATATCTAAAGATATAATAAGTCGTTAACAATGGACTGAAACAAATGAATAACTTAAATTAAGCATGGAATTGCAATAAAATATTATCGGCGTTACCAACTGTATAAAAAGCAAACGAAACCCTTAGCTACGTATTCGAAACTCAAAGGAATGATGAGACCTCTAGTGAGAACCGCGCCGAACTGTTCTAAAGGCGGGGTGGGGGGGTGATTGGCAGGTAACCATTGGTTGTACTCGGCAAGTCACTGCGCAGTATGGCAGTGCTCATCCAATTTGACGCGCTCAAAGGGATATGCTATGACCTTGCGCAGTAATTCTTGCATTTTTTGTCTACCATACGCGACGCTTTTCAGAGCCATTCCTTTCGGGTGTGCTCCTCTCTCTAGTCTTCTAGGATTGAGAAAGACGTGTTAGAGGCTATCCTACAAAAATAAAATAAATCGTTTTCTATGTTTTTAGTAATTTATTTTTTACAGGGTTTTTTAGAATTTGTGTTTACTTTTAAATAGATTTTTTATTAAACTAGGTTAGCTTTTATGCTATTTTGTATGTCTCTCAAAAACCACTGTATTCCTTTGGGTTCCGAATGGACTCTTAGAGTACTTTCTCTATCTCGTCCGTATATTATTCAAATCTGAATTTTTTAAATTATATTTATATTATACGGATATACAACAGACGTAGATGTTTTTGCACTACACAATCATCACAAAAGAGTCTCCAAAATGATTTTATTAAAAAAAAAAAACGATAATTATATATTTGTTAAATTGACCTGTTTTGTCACTATTGAAATTTTATTATTCTTTATCTCAATAACTTCATAAATTCTTCGTTTCTACAATTTGTTATATATTTCTGTTCACCACTTTTGATGCCATTGTAACAAGAATGAAGGGTTTTTGTTTTGTATTTTAAAAGGCTTTAATTGTAATGAACATATACGTAATTTTCTTTCAGAATACTCAGTAGTATAATCTATTAGATAAAACAAAAAAATATTTTACCTATACATTATTAGAAAATCGAATGCATGTATATATTTTTATTTTTTTTTTTTGTTAGATATTAATTGAACATTTTGTTAGTGGTATGTATAAATAGGTACTTACTACCTATTTTTACTTAAGTGCTCGGAATTTTGAACATGAAATGTTTACATTATTTTCGTAAGTAAATACGTAGGTTCAGATCCGGTTGGTAGTTACTCGAATTTTCTCAATACCTAGACAAATGAATACTTTTGTTGATTGTTAATTTTAGAACAATGTTAATGTGGTAACAAGACTGTATGTTATTACTTGTGGTTTAATGAGTCATCTGCGCAGGTGCCGCTGCTGTTGCTGCTAAGCAGCGTAGACATTTGGGCCAGATCAGAGAACATCCCTACCAAAGAGCCGGTGCTCTGTCTTAAGATATGCATAAGGTTAGTTTTGAAAATTTTGTGTTTGTTTTTCTAGGTATTATCTAGTTCTACGAACTTCCCAGTTTCAAAACACATATATTTATACCTATATATTTTTTATTTACCATTGCAATTTTTCGCAAATACCACATTTGGATTTCCCCTTAATGTCCCTTATTACGCAGTGAGTGACAACGTTTGTTCTGTGTTCAGAAGAATTTTTATGCGAATATGCAATTAAACAATTCAATATCTAGACCGTGATAAGAGAAACATAAAACAATTTTTTTTATCTCTCATTTTTATTGGTCTCTTTCATTCAGTACGTCATTTGCTCTCACAATGCATTGCAAACTTGCATAAAAAAAAATCTGACCACTCTCTCGTATTTCAGGTGTTCAAATTTTGTCAGTCACTGCACATTCGTCTGCAAAACTTGCCTCTTATTGCAATATCTGGCAAAATTTAATCAGTGTTCTCGTTGTTATCAGTATTGGAAAATGAAATAGGTTGTGATGTTTCCCATCTTAGCTCTCTTCAAATTATACATCCCTTAAAATTATGATTTTTTTACTTTACGATATCCACTGAAATATAAATGAGATATCTTGTCGGCAACGTGGAATCAAAGGCAGATTCTTTTTTTTCCTTGGCTGTTGTTTTGTTCTTTTACAACATACACCGTGAGAATAATCAGGCTGATTCAATATCAGTCCCAATGTAAACATTTTTTTATTTATTTTTCTGCCAAATAGTATGTGAAAGCATTTATTTATTATTTATTTTGTACGAATTTTATGTATCTGAATTGTGTTTCAACCATGTATACAAGTATCACCACGTAATGATACTTTTTTGTATGTTGCTGACTTGTGCCAATGTGGAAAATATATTTCTAAAAAAAATAGTCAATTTTTTTATTGGTATATATGCCCTTCGTCACATACACGGGATTCAGTTGTTACTTTTTTAACGCTATTCATAAATCGAACATTAACATTAGGCTTATGGTATGAAATTTAACAAACTTATTTAGTTTATATATAAAAAATAATAACATGTAACAATTCTAATTCCACATGGCCAAGTTAACTAATACACGGTACTGGTACATCTTCCTGTAAATTACTCGCCAACATAGTCCAGTCAAATGAGGAAAATGACTGAAGAATACCTTATAATGGAGAAAATGGTTGAAATACGGGTCATTTTGTCGGAAATTTCGTGAATAACACGAATATGTAAATGAAAATTATGCGAGAAAGTCCGCAAAAACAATTGCAAATTCGATTATCTCGCGATATATGAAAGATATGGAAAAAAAGTTTCAATAAAAGTTTTTCACAATGCCATTTTGCAAAAAAAATTATTGATGACTTTTTTTCATATCTCTCATAGAACAAAAGTTCTGCGCGCCTAATGGCAAAGAGGCCTCAAAATTCGCGGAAATTTTTGATAAATTCAAAATAATTATCAAAAATTTAAAATTGATAATTTAATCGATTCGTAACTTATCTTAATCGGTTAAACTATCTTTTCAGAGAAAATTTTTTTTTATC